GCTGCTGCTGCTGCTGTTGCTGTTGCTGTTGCTGTTGCTGTTGCTGTTGCTGTTGCTGCTGTTGTTGCTGTTGTTGCTGCTGCTGCTGCTGCTGCTGCTGCTGCTGCTGCTGCTGCGAAACAGGGACGGGGACAGGGACAGGGACGGGAACCGGAACGGGGACGGGAACGGAAACGGAGGATCGTTTCGAATCGTGCTCTTCGCGATACTTCGACATTCGCGATCCGGTTTCACGTTGCAACGGAGAACCGTTTGATACGAACCGCACACGTACCTCTCCCTCTTCCGACGACGTTCCGAGCGTTTCGGTTTTCGCTCCGGCGCAGATGGATCTCGTGTCCTCCGATAGGGGTGAGTTACTCGGCCCGCGACAACTTTCCCGGACACTTTGCGCCTTTGCGTACACTGTTTGCGAATCCTGATTTGTTCCTTGTTGCGGCTGTTGTCTGTGTTCTTGCTCCCGTTGCCGTAGATAGGAATTCTCCAAGGCACCTTGCGCGTCGTAATGCATAGTTCGCGGTCGGCAACCCGAAACGCGTTAAATCGATCGTTAGCGCATGTTTCGCCGCGCGTTACCCTTCTACGAAACACATCAACTGTCTTCGGACTAATCGCGTCACTTGGAATTCGAATAGGGCTCCCGTATCAGTTTGTCTCCCACAACAGGTGAAATTATTTACGGATAAACATGTTCTAGCACACCGATGGTCAGTACGCTACGATCGATGATCGATCGGTGTTGCCGATTCCGTGGTCCATCGACTTCCGTCCGTTTGTTCACCCGCCTGCCCGATCACTCGATTCTTCGGCCACTCGACCGACCGACAAACCGATCGAATGGAAAGCCGAAACGATTTCAATCGAAAACGACGCACAGGTACGAGTTGCGATCGTATAATTTACTTGATACTAAAATGTATTCCAACAGAGAGCCGATATGTTTTCCTGCGACAAATAATCGTGTGTCCGTTTCGATTTCGTGACGATACGAGCGATTAACCCGACGCCGCGCCGCAAAGTGACGTCGCAAGGAACCGCGTGTACGTAACGGGAAAACCGCTCCCCTCTGCTACTGCGTTACCGCGGTCAGTCGATTCTGCCACGCCTATCACGGCGAACCTCGCGATTCTGCCACGCCTACGGCTCCCCTTTGTTCCCCCATTCACCGAATCACGAATCCCAAACCCGCCCGTGCTTCGTCAGAACTGTTCCAAGTCCAGAGTTTCGAATACCGACTCCAGAGTCCAGAGTCCCGATTCTTGATTCTCGATTGCCGATTCCCGATTCCCGATTCCCGATTCCCGATTCCCGATTCCCGATTCCTCGTGGTCGAATCGTCGGGACGCCGAACCGCGAGCCTCAATCTCCGAGCCACGGGCCACGAGAACGAAACTCCAAAACCCGAGCGACGAATTTCCGCAGTGTGAACTTAGGATCCATGTATATACACGTTTACTTATTTAGTCGAAAGATACTTAAATTCGTACATTCCTTCCGCGAGTACCAAGGGCCAAAGGAAGAGCACATTTAGACGATCACGGAGAGAAAAGAAGAGAAGAGAAGAGAAGAGGAGGGGCTGAGATGGATGGGGAAGAATAATCGAACGAGAGAAGAAACGCGTAGGAGGAAAAGGAGAATCGACGCTTCAGGACTGGGATCGCTCGTGGAGCAGGGGACGTCGCGTCGTCCGGTACCGAACAGGGATAGCAGTACTTCCCCCATCAACGACGAGAATCGTCCAATCCTACGACGGGCATGAAACGCGCGCTAAGGAGAACGGATATGCAGTTGGTGCCACGTGACTTCTCGAGAAACTTGAGGAGTGGCGGAATGCACCCACTTTCGTTTCGACGTTGGGCTAATGCGAGGGTAGTTGGCCACCGTCCACGAATAATCAGAATAACCGATGTTGGTCTGCTGACGATACTTTTGTGGTTTCTCCGTCCTCAGTTTTTCTCCGTTCCTGATTCATTAACGCTGATACCACTAACGATACGACCGCATTCTTTTCAGTTTCGGATCCGATCACCGATCCGATTCTCCGTTCTTCTCTTTTTTCATTCGAACCACCCATTTCACCATTTTATCCAATCTCGCGTATTTCGTATATATACCAACACCCGTACCATGCTTTCTCTTTATCATGTTTACTCTTCGCTTTCACCTTCTACAATATTTTACGTTATTAAGCAAGTATTGTACCAGTGTTATCTACGTTACCTTATATTACACGCACGTTTCTCCATAGCTAGTTGCTTCTAGATAACTGTAGCATAATCGTCGAAATACTTTTATTTGTCGACGGAATAGCGGCGATATAGAAGTATCGAATACGTATCTATCGCTTTATCGAGCAGCTAATAGCCGCGTAATAGGCATCACGCCCAGTTTTTGAGTAATCGGTCTGTTATCGGTTGTCGTGCACGATATACGAGTATTATATCAGTTCTACCACACATTTGCTTATCCCACTGATAAACTCTCTTTACTTTTTAAAGTGTCTAGTCGAACATACCGAATTTTTTCAAATATCGTTTCGCGTCGGAAAACAAATTTCTTTTTCTCCTTCTCCTCCTTTTTCTTCTTCTTCTTTTTCGAAGAATCATGCAGAATTCCTTTTATTCGTTACCGAGTTCTACCTGTAGCGCAGACTTGTGTCCTGTGCACCTATTTTAAGGAACCCGCACGGATTGTTCTTCGGCCGGCTTTTCATTCTATAATAATTAAGCAATTCTTGTAATTCTGTATACTCCCGTATTGCTTTGGGAAATGAATGAACCACCACAGGAATGAGTCGAAGGTAACCGGTACAAGTTCGCTGGTCACCGCTTTTTAACCAAATAATACACCGGGGATACCTTATTTACTTAAGGATCGAAGCACGTTCAACGTATTCCCGAAGAAAATATTCAAACTGTTCTCCCAATGCATCTCTTCTACTTTAACCCTTTGCAGCCGAAAGTTTTCTACTGGGAATATTCGACATTTTCTAGTCAGATGTGCACGACGTTCTTTGAAAGTAACTTGTCGGGGAAAGATACGTAAATCGGTAAACGAAGCTGTACGAACCTTGATATTATACTTGTGTAAGGCTTTGTAATTTTGCTCTGACAAATCAAGTGCTGACTGAGAGTCGCCTCCGGACTGCAAATGGTTAATACTACGGATGTCGATGTATACTCGAAATTACTCGATCTGTGTACCCAACATTCGATTAATCGTTCAATTTTTACTCGAATTATTTGATTTACCAACGATGCTCGTTTGAAAGCTACTCGTTATAATGGCTATTTGAATCCTACATCGCGTCACATTGCACACATCGTTTCATAGCAACTATTGAAAATCGCTTTCGTCGCCTTAAGAATTTTAAGTAATTTCTAACACTTTCCACTGCAAATTCCCGTTTCATTCTTATCGTCTGGTCTGGAAGCAAACCCACGTCTAAATATTCTCTTTCAAGTTCGTACACATACCTACATACAGGTGTACTTACTCGAGTACTCGCATAAATAGATGTAGTTATATTGGGATGCGACGACCTCTCGTTGCTGTGAATACGCACTGCTACCCATGCGCTGTATATACGAGATATATGTACACATATACGTATGTATGCAGGTAGCACCTTTCATCCCTGACGGTCGGGTAAACATAAAAGATTTTCAAGCAACGATTATGCTTCGTCACGACAACCTAAGCTTATTTTCCTTCTATCCTTCTACAGATTTCGTGATCGCGTCAAGCCTGTTTTAAGGTTTCTGTCGTTTAACAATGCACACTTTCTTCGATTCACATCCTCATTCGGTTATCACGTTCGTCCTTATATTCCATACATTCTACCTACATATGTACCTACATACGTGGCACGATACGACAACGTATCCATGCGTATAGGATACATAGGTGTAAGTATGTACATGCAACGTAGTTATACGAACACTCGCATGTTTGCGTAAAAAGTACAAAAGGAACTCTCTCGTTTCTTTACTTGCTTCGGCTACAAAGTTCAATTTTCTAAATAGCGTGATTGGTCATTCTAATTGGGAAATCGATCGATATTTACAACGTTAATGATAAAGATTTAAGACGTACTCTGTTCAAATCTTGTTATCCATACTTCAAAGTAATTAACGATTTGATGGTTAATTTATCCGCTCTTATCTTATTGTTAGGAATAAGACTGCTCGATCAACACCTTGATTGGATATCACTGCCTATAGATAAGTCGTAATTGGTGTCATGGATTGATTCGATATTGCCTCGTGTGTATGTAAATACCGTTAATCGTACATTTTATCAATATTCTACCGGCTGAATTCGATTTGACTCGAGCTGCCTCGGTTCGACTCGACTCGAAAGCTGAGCCGGTTAATTTGATAGTAGCATAAAAATCGAGCAAGTACGATAGTGAATAGGTTCTTTCTCGTTCTAGATGCATAAATATATAGCGATTAGTAATTTTCATCGCTTCTGTTTTCTTCGTTATTTCCTCCAATCACTTTTTCTTCCACGTATCTACGTATTACATGTAAATTTGTGCTCATTGTCATTCTCGGTAGGTATATGTGTACACCCACGTACTCCTACCACGTCGCACAGAGTACAAATTCGATTCCATAATTAAAATCTTCCAACCCCTATGCGGCCGCATTGCCAAGTTTGGCCCTTATCGACCATTACTTTTAATAGCGTTGTTAATGAAACTAGGTGTCGCGAAATTAACCTCTCGTTCCAGTAACGCTCAACCGAAATTGAAGTCGGCCGAATTTTCACGAAGCTAATCGATCAGGGATTTCAAATGTAGACATGTAAGCACATAAGTGTTTAGATACGTGCACACAATAACCTTTTCGAGTCTATACAAATGTGGGTTCAAACATGCCTATTTGAAATTTACATGTTCACCGGTAATATAAGAGACGCATTATAATATTGTCGAATGATATGTATAGACCTGCATTTCGATTGAATAGAATTCACAAATACCAACAGTTGACAACGTTACACGCGAACGTTCCACTACACGCGTTTCGTTTTTCTCATCAGTATTGTATTTCCAACTACTCGGAAGACAAAGCAAGTGAAAAGTGATAAGGAGTTGATCAATAATCGTGTATGTAGAGCAGTGAAGAATAATAAGTAGCGGAAGTGGAGAAAACAAAATAAAAGGAGAAGAACAGGTTGCAGCGAGTACGTCAGGTTTGAAAACCACTGGCTTCAGCTGATTACCGCGGTAACCACCCCCCGAGCGCCAATTAATCTTAACTTTTACGGGGCAAACACTTTTCATTAAGCTCGGTCCTGCCTCCAACCGGAGTCGAGTTATCCCCTCTCTGTTGCAACTTTAGCCACCCTTGGTTGCTCTCCTTTTTTCTGCCCCCACTCTTCCAGAGCACGACTGGCTCTTCGCACTCATCCTCTTTCGAGAACGGCGAGGAACGGCAACGAAAATGGTTCCCCAGACAAGCGTTTAATCTGGCTCTAATTAGCAACTTACCCTCCGCGCCACCGTTCCAACGTTTCACCTGTTTCCA